GGGGCAGTCTTCTCCTTTCAGCCCTTCAAAAGAAAGTAGTCACTGTTTCCCCTGCCCTAGGGTAAATGTCTGTTATCCAATGTCCCAAGATGATGTTTCCAACACCACTGAGGTGAAAACATATAGAGAAAGAAACACTAGGATTTATGAAATATCTACTCCCTCATGTAATCCTTACAACTTAACCTGGGCTACAGTTAGAGACTTCTGATAAATTAGGAAATCGAGTTAGATAGGTTAAAAGTAATAGGCTCAAGGTTATAGGCAGGAGATGAGCCAAGATTTCTTCTCTATACCACCTACCTTCTAACCCATGGGGCTTGAGGAATTCTAACACAAATCACTGTTTAAAGCCAAGTGACTCCCACTCCTGGGAGGCAGAGTTAATGTTCTCATGAATGCAGGTCACCCCACAGTTAAGCATAAGCTCCTGGCCATACAGATGCTCAGGGACTTCTCTCAGTTTTGTAACAGAGAAACCAAGAGCTGCCTCTGCTTTCTCAGTGTGTTTGTGAAGTGACTGAACTTAGTGGCTGAGCAGTCACATTGTCAACACAGGACAAATACAGCAGGGCTCAAGTAGAAGGGCCTCCTGGCGGGCACATGTAAACTGTGTGTCCTGCAGGGCAGAGGGTCAAAGCAACTGAAAGATAAAGGAGCAAAGGATTCTGTTGCAGGAACTGGTTTCATGACACCATCTCAGAGTGTCAAGCTGACTCAACTACCATCCTCTCCTGATGAGAGATCCTACAGCAGGACCATTGCCCCATTTCCCCCTTGCCTCCATCTTGCGCATATGCCAATCTTAAATTCCCAAGAGAATGTAGGGACTCTCTGTTATAACTCCTATGCCGTTATGGTATGAGAAACCACTAAGAGTAACACCTCAAAGAGCTAAGCCACTTCACTAGGACAGGATAGAATACCACCTATTCCCCTTACCCTCCTCAGAAGGGGGAAGCTGCTACTACAAGGTGGGATCTCAACCTGCTCATTGTTACATAACTTTCAAACTTCCTGCTGAAATATCAAAACCAGTTCCTCTTGTTTTACTCTCTGAAAACTCCTCTCTGTAGTTACCTGTAAACAAAGTTTTTCAGCCTTGGGCAGCGCCTGTAGCTCAGTGGGTAGGGTGCTAGCCACATACACTGAGGATGGTGGGTTTGAATCTAGTTCGGGCCAGCTAAAAAAACAACAATGTCAACTGGAATAACAAAAATAGCTGGGCATTGTGGTGGGTGCCTGTAATCCCAGCTGCTTTGGAGGCTGAGGCAAGAGAATTGTTTAAGCCCAAGAGTTTGAGGTTGCTGTGAGCTATGATGCCATGGCAGCACTCTACCCAGGGTGACAGCTTGAGACTCTGTCAGGGGTGGGGTTGGGGGGGGGGGTCGTTCAGCCTTCTTGCCTCCCAACTCAATCAGCCCAACATGTTTATGGCTCTTTTTCAGACCCTTATTTGTGTACATGGCTCCAATTCCAGATTTTCTCCCACCTTTTAATACTGCTTAGGTGCAAATATTAAAGTGCTTCCCATGGGACCCAATAGGTGGCCCAGGATCAGTAAGCACTTTGTCCTCAAGTCATCAAGTGAAATGTGAAGAGATGGAGCTCCCTAGTGACCCTGCCAACAGAAGGGACAAATAAATTGGCCCAGCTAGGTACACCTCCTTTCCACTTCCACACTTCTCGTATCAGAAAATTCACAGGGAACAATTTGCTGGGTTCTGAAATAAGATTCTGGCTCAGGAGTAGGCAGTGTCATTTGGAAGGCAGGGCCATACATTGGAAAGAACATCAGCAGTCAGGAGATCTATAATTGAGTCTCACTTCCATTACCTATTGGTGTATGATGGGAACTTTGTCACTACACTGAAATTCAGTTTCCTCAGCTGTATTTAACTTACCAAGGTATATTAACAGTTGTGGTGCAATTCATGAGCCAATAATTACAAAAATATTTTGTTAACAGTAAGCACTTCTATCATTGCAAGAAGTTCTATTGGACAGTGATGCCAAGTTCTTGCCCTCAGGTGGTCCACAGACCAGCTGCATGGGCCTCACCTGAGAGCTTGTTAAAAACACAGAACATTGGCTTGGTACCTGTGGCTCAAGTGGCTAAGGTGCCAGCCACATACACCTAAGGTGGCGGGTTCGATCCAACCTGGGCCCGCCAAATAACAATGACGGCTGCAACCAAAAAACAGCCGGGTGTTATGGTGGGCGCCTGTAGTCCCAGCTACTTGGGAGGCTGAGGCAGGAGACTCACTTGAGCCCAGGAGTTGGAGGTTGCTGTGAGCTGTGATGCCACAGCACTCTACCCAGGGGGACAGCTTGAGGCTCTGTCTCAAAAAAAAAAAAAAAAAACAAGGCTGGGTGTAGTGGCTCATGCCTGTAATCCTAGCACTCTGGAAGGCCAAGGCAGGTGGATTGCCCAAGCTCACAGGTTTGAGGCCAGCCCAAGCAAGTGCAAGATCCCATCTCTAGAAAAAATAGCCAGGCTGGTCGGCGCCTCTGGCTCAAAGGAGTAGGGCACCAGCCCCATATGCCAGAGGTGGCAGGTTCAAACCCAGCCCCGGCCAAAAACTGTAAAAAAGAAAAAAAAATTTTTAAAGCCAGGCATTGTGGCAGGCACGTGTATTCTCAGCTACTTGGGAGACTTAGGCAAGAGAATTACTTGAGCCCAAAAGTTTGAGGTTGCTGTGAGCCATGATACCATGGCACTCTACCAAGGGTGACAAAATGAAACTGTCTCAAAAAAAAAAAAAAAAAAATAGAACTTAAGGTTGCACTCCAGACCTGGGTGCACATCCAGATTTTTGGGAGACTTACGGGAATATCAGAAGCATTGTTTTAAACATTAAGGACTGTCAGTGTTACAAAATTATAAAAACTCTAGAAGTCCAAGACCATTATGACTAGGTTAGGAACTCTCTGACTCCACCTAACTTGTGACTAGAACTGAGCACAAGGATGACCACCTCTTCCATTCTGGTCTTTATAGTCCATTGCTCCCACCAAATCAAAACACCTTTTATAACTCCTGGCAAGACACTCATGGGTTCCCACTTCTCAGCTGGAAAGACGGAAAGTAAGACTAGCATCTCCTACTCCTTCTGTCCTACTGCATCTGCGTTAATTAAGGCTCTGCATCAGGGAGCTATCTACAGAACGAACAGGAACACATTCGCAGGCTTGCACACCGGGCCTTCTGAACATACTATGTCCCTACGTGAAGTTCCCAGCCATGCCTCTAACTCGTCCGTTAAGACTATCTCCTCCCTCCCTCAGACACGAGGAGATCCCCACCCAGCCTTCCTTTGGTCTCCTACAGGTTCCCACGTGGACTCTCGTCACAGACACCACATGACAATCTTCTCTACATATTCCACGTGACACCTCCTTTATGCAGATTCTGCCCTGGCCCCCGCACAGCTGATTCTAGGTCCTAGAGCGTGCCCCTCGCGGTGCTTCCTTCCCTGTCTGCATAACTCACACCAGGAAGAGATTCCTCGCGGGAGATGTCCTTCACTCCCCAAACTGCACAAACTGCAGCCTGGCGACGCAGCTATCCTTCACCTCCTTGACAAGTGCAGGCCGTCAGAGACCTTAGTCCTCAGCCACCCAAGCCGGCGGTTTCTTGCCTGTTCAGATCCCGGGGGCTCCACCGCGTCTGAGGCGAACTCCAAGCCCAGACTTCTAGGCCGCATGCCCCACGCTCTACTCCATTCCCAGTGACTGCTGGCCTCCGGTCGCATCTTCCTCCATCTCGAATCAGCTCTCGGTACTGCCGGAACCGGAAATTGGGACGCTGTCATTACCGCCCCCCCTCCAGGGGGTGGGGATGAGCGGTGGACAATTCCGCCAATGGCCTTTGAGCCTTCGAGCCTCCCTCAGGAGCGAGAACCGGCGGTCCGGGCGGCCATCTTGGATCCCGGATTAGTCACGCCTCGCAGCTTCGCCCCGCCCTCAGTCACGGAGCACGCGCGCGGTCACTTGTAGTGCTCGGTCGCGGCAATTGAGTACTCCGGAGCTTCTTGAAGATGCAGTCGTAAAGGGGTCACCTTGTGTTTGGAGATCTGTTGAAATCTTTTTTTTCTGAAAATTTTTTTTTTATTAGAGACAGAGTCTCACTTTGTCGCCTTCGGTAGACTGCTGTAGCGTCACAGCTCACAGCAACCTCCAGCTCTTGGGCTCAAGCGATTCTCTTGCCTCAGCCTCCGGAGTAGCTGGGACTACAGGCGCCTGCCAGGACACCTGGGTATTATTTTGTTGCAGTTTGGCCAGGGCCGGGTTTGAACCCTCCACTCTCGGTTTATGGTAACAGAGCCCAATTCACTGAGCCACAGGCGCCGCCCCAAAGTCTATTTTTTTTTTAAACAGAGTCTCACTATGTAGCCCTCGGTAGAGTGCTTTGCGTCACAGCTCACAGCAACTTCAAACTCTTGGTCTTAAGCGAGTTTCTTGTCTCACCCTCCCAAGTAGCTGGGACTACAGGAGCCCACCACAACGCCCGGCTTTTTTCTTTCTTTTTTTTTTTTTTTT